AGACCTTACAAAGTTGTGACAATTTGCTACACAGCAGGCAAAATCCAAGTTGCACCAGCCAATCAGCCAAATGGGAAAATTACCAGGCCCCTGTCCCCAAAACAGACGACCCACGGCGGCATAGCAAGGTCATAATGGACCCTAAATATAGGGAAGGTGGGCGGGTGATTCGATGCATGAAGCGAAAAGAGGAAGCTCTACGCAACGTGCAATGGTATATATAAAGGTACCTCGGTTAATACACAAAAAATCCCATTGGCCCGTTCTGCCCAGCAACCGAGAGACCACCGATCAGGTTGTTGTGGCTATCCAATCGCTCCCACCCACACGACAGTGAGGTCAGTCCTGATGATCTCACCGCAACACTGTGAGGAGGACCCGATTTGTCACACACAGAGAAAGATGCAAAGAGGTCGTATATTTCGTTAAAGCGGTTTTGCACATTATGTTTTCCAGCATTCTTAGGGCCTGCTACTGCTATACAGCATTTCTTTGTAATAAATCAGTTTGGCTTACCCGGTAGATACATAGAATATATAGAAAGACTGTTTTAGCGTTGACTGTATCTAAGGGTGAGACTTTCAGTCTTTCGGAACATCATTTTATTTCCTTCCCCACGTTAACGTCTGTAATGGTTCTCTGTCGGAAATAGCCAGCACATACCTATTTGAGACAATCAATAAATTATCTCACTCATCAACTGGGGGAAGGGGGAGGTGCTATTTAGAAAAATTGTTACAAAAGATGTATTGGGTGTTTTTAAAGGGCAAAGTGTCAAATGTGATAAGAGGGATGGGGGGTTAAAGTAAAAAAGGCTTTTTATAACCTTGAAAAGGGGAGAGAAAAGAGGCCTGGCGTTCTCGCTCTGTATGTGTGTATGTATACAGTGGTACCTCTGCTTACGTACTTAATTCGTTCTGAAGGTCCGTTCTTAACCTGAAGCACCACTTTAGCTAATGGGGCCTCCTGCTGCTGCCGTGCCACCGCCACACAATTTTTGTTCTCATCCTGAAGCAAAGTTCTTAACCCAGGGTACTATTTCTGGGTTAGCGGAGTCTGTAACCTGAAGCGTCTGTAACCTGAAGCGTCTGTAACCCGAGGTACCACTGTATATATGTATACGTATACCGTGGACGCTTGGGTTGCGAACGTGACCCGTGCAGGATGCACTTTCAAAATCTACAGCGTCCGCAACCTGCAGCGGCATGTCTGCACACGAGCGGGTTGCGATTTGGCGCTGCAGCACATGCGCAAAGCGCAATTTAGCGCTTCTGCTCATGCACAACCAGTTCCAGTACCTCCGGGTTTTGGCGGTCCATAACCCGAAAAAACCCAACCTGAAGCGTCTGTAACCCACGGTATGACTGTATATATGTGTGTGTGTGTGTGTTTGTGTGTGTGTATAGATATATATGTATTTGTATATGTGTGTGTGTATATATATCTGCATGTGTGTGTGTGTGTGTGTATACGTATATATGTATACATATGTGTGTGTGTGTGTGTATGTGTATATATATATTTGAGTTTGTATATATATATATGTGTGTGTGTGTGTATGTACAGTGGTACCTTGGGTTAAGTACTTAATTCGTTCCAGAGGTCCGTTCTTAAACTTAAACTGTTCTTAACTTGAAGCACCACTTTAGCTAATGGGGCCTGCCGCTGCCGCCATGCTGCCGCAGCACGGTTTCTGTTCTCATCCTGAAGCAAAGTTCTTAACCAAAGGTACTATTTCTGGGTTAGCGGAGTCTGTAACTTGAAACCTATGTAACCCGAGGTACCACTGTATATATGTGTTTGTGTGTGTGTGTGTGTGTGTGTGTGTGTGTGTGTATCTATCTCCATATCCCTTTACTGAACTGTCTGGCGAAGTAAACGTTGTAGCAGGTTACCCTGATAGACTACAATGTTTGAATTTCACGCTCCCCCTTTATAAAGGCACCGAAAAGCATGTGCCTCTGTAATGGAATGTGACATTTGTTTAAACGTGCACAGGAACACTACATAGCTCTTCAGAAACATAATGCTGTATTTACCATGCATTAAACTCCAGGAGGGAATTAGGTTGGCAGGATGTAATTATGCATCTTGGAAGTCAGCCAGCTAGGCAGGTTAGCAGACCTCTGCACTTTGGAAAGCACTAGGAGGTTCTGGGCAAGGCTTGGGATCTCCCCCCTTGTTGGGCAATTAAAAGGTAATAATCTGCAACACCATGCTTGGATTCCCTCTCCCCCCCTCTCCCCTCCCCGCTTTTCAACATCAGCACTTCTTATAACACCTGGATAGGGTTTAGTCATAGAAACTCTGTATTGTTACAGCATTTTAATAATGCAGTCGGGGGTGGTGTTGAATGCCTTTAGGGAAGGAATGGGTTTTTATTTTAGCTGTAGGATTACATCTTCCAAAGCAAAAAAAAACCTTCTAAAAAATCTTTTTTAAAAAGAAGAAGTGGCTAAAGAAGAGGTATCAAAAGGTCAGTCTAGGTTGTGCATGACTTTGCTTCAGTTTTATTTGTTCTTATAACAACTAGAGGCAGGCACAGAACAGTGATTTGGGTTTGGAACTCACTTTAGCACTTTGGATAGTGAATTGCCTCAAGAGAAGCCTCACTCTGCCTTGGCCCTGAAGCAGGCTCTTTTTAAGGAACCCTGAAGCTTCCAATCTCTTCCCGTTGATCATCATGCAGAACAATGGGCTCTGGGCATCCTTTTGTCAGAATTGGATGGAATTTAAGAATGGTGGTCCAGTTTGCCCATTGTTGTTGTTGTCGTTTAGTCGTGTCCGACTCTTCGTGACCCCATGGACCAGAGCACGCCAGGCACTCCTGTCTTCCACTGCCTCCCGCAGTTTGGTCAGACTCATGTTTGTAGCTTTGAGAACACTGTCCAACCATCTCGTCCTCTGTTGTCCCCTTCTCCTTGTGCCCTCCATCTTTCCCAACATCAGGGTCTTTTCCAGGGAGCGTTCTCTTCTCATGAGGTGGCCAAAGTATTGGAGCCTCAGCTTCAGGATCTGTCCTTCCAGTGAGCACTCAGGGCTGATTTCCTTAAGAATGGATCGGTTTGATCTTCTTGCAGTCCATGGGACTCTTAAGAGTCTTCTCCAGCACCACAATTCAAGAGCATCAATTCTTTGGCGATGAGCCTTCTTTATGGTCCAGCTCTCACTTCCATACATCACTACTGGGAAAACCATAGCTTTTACTATACGGACCTTTGTTGGCAAGGTGATGCCCATAACCATGGCTTAATTTCTTGGTCCCAGCTCCTGCCCACCTAGCAGTTCGAAAGCACTCCTAAGTGCAAGTAGATAAATAGGTACCGCTTTATAGCGGGAAGGTAAACGGCGTTTCCGTGTGCTGCGCTGGTGCTGGCTCGCCAGAGCAGCTTTGTCACACTGGCCACGTGACCCAGAAGTGTCTTCGGACAGCGCTGGCTCCCGGTCTCTTAAGTGAGATGAGTGCACAACCCTAGAGTCGGACACGACTGGCCCGTACAGGCAGGGGTACCTTTACCTTTTAATTAGCAAGCCTGCTGGTTCCACCTTTTGAAAGCTATGGGGTCCTCTGGTCCTGCTGTATTACTGGGAGTTAAGCCATGGTTTGACTTGCTGTTATGTGCAAACCCAGGCTTGTGGCTTGTCTCCCCCAAACAAACCATGACCACCAAGCCAATAAGAAACATTGGTTACAGGTCATGGTTCATTTAGAGCAAGGCAAACCATAAGACTAGGTTTGCATGCAATGTTAAGCTAAACCATGGCTTAGTGGCTGATAGCATAACAACAGGAGGACTGGGAAGTGGAGCAAAGTACAGTGGTACCTCGGGTTACACACGCTTCAGGTTACATACACTTCAGGTTACAGACTCCGCTAACCCAGAAATATTGCTTTAGGTTAAGAACTTTGCTTCAGGATGAGAACAGAAATCGTGCTCCGGCGGCGCGGCAGCAGCAGGAGGCCCCATTAGCTAAAGTGGTGCTTCAGGTTAAGAACAGTTTCAGGTTAAGTACGGACCTCCAGAATGAATTAAGTACCACTGTAGCTGTCACTTTTTAAATGTGAAGCAGGCCATGGTAGCTACTTCAGAGAAAATTAAGACTGCCAAATTTCAGATAGATTGGGAACGAGTGGGGTGCAAGGGGTGTTTGCGGTTGTTTCTTTTTTTAAAAAAGGAGTTCTTACCCCCTGTTTTGTGGGGAATTCATAAAACATGTTGCAAATCATAAGAGGAGGCACCTATGTATGTAACCTGCTTCCTGAAAGTAAGCAAGTTACTTTTAGGAAGCAGGTCAGGAGGCCTGATAAGTGAAAATCAGCTTAGCAGAAAGTGAGCTTATTCTGTCCTTCAAAAAGCCTTGCTGCATTTATAGTAGCCACAGTACCAAGCACCAAGTTACAAAAGAGTAGCAGGAAATATTTCTTTGGACATGCATCACTCATAATTTTATATATGGCAGTGTTAACAGGATAAGAATAGCAGAGAATGGATGAACAGACAGTATTTTTCTCTGCTCATCCTGCTAAAATATTTTCAAGTCGTAGGTATGCACATGTATAATTTAGATCCTGAATGTGTTTGACTTTGGACTGCACTGGCATGTTGTCAACTAGACCACTACTTTAAGACTAATGATCACCTCTGAAAAATAAAGTACAACCCAGTCAAGGTTAAGGACCTTTGAGGCTGCCATTCCAAGTGCAGATAAGCCCCTGTTCATTAAAGTTTCATAAATATTATTTAAAAAAAAAAAAAGATAAGCCCCTGTTCAGTGGTTCACCTCCTGACTGCTTGCCCCCCACCATTAAATGCTGACACATGTGCCACTGTAATAATCTCTCGCAGGGCCAACGTGTAACACTTTCAGTCTGAAGGGGACCGGTGTGAATAGGCCCCTTTCAGATTGAATCCAACAGAGCGTTGGGTCCTTCAGACAGCACAAATGCAGAGCTGCTAAGAAATACAGTGGTACCTCGGGTTAAGAACTTAATTTGTTCTGGAGGTCTGTTCTTAATTCATTCTGGAGGTCTGCCACCACTGCGCAATTTTTGTTCTCGTCCTGAAGCAAAGTTCTTAACCCAAGGTACTATTTCTGGGTTAGCAGAGTCTGTAACCTGAAGCGTCTGTAACCCAAGGTACCACTGTAGCAACAGGAGCACAGTCAGAGGGCAGTCCAAGGGTGAAGTGATCACCACAGGGGTTGGGTGATCAGAAATATACAAGCTTGGGAGCTGGTGCTTAAAATGGCTCCAGCTCTAGGTAGACTGTGCCTACAAACCAAAGGCTTCTAAGACTGCGCTTTCAGAGACCAATGTAGAGCACAGCTATGGGCCACCAATGTTACCTGAGGAATTGATCTACTCATAAGGAGTGATTTATTCATGAGCATCCCCTTACTCATGCAGAGTCTGATCAAGCCTGCACTTCTAGACATCTGGCCTGCATTCCTAAGGGCTAGATAGTCCCTCGGTGTCTGCCTCTGATATGGGTTGTCCACATCTTGAGGGGAAAGATGGAAAGATGGACTGCTGTCTCCTCTGAGATCCCTGGTTCCCCTGATATGCCTCAAGCAGTGTTAGAAATTCAGATAGATAAGCTAGCACATATGAATTGACCTATTCCTACCTCTTCTTCTTAATATTGACATGGACCATTGATAACGTAAGAATATTCTTCTCAAACGTGAGCAGGGCAGTGGGATGGGGGAAGTGAAGACAAGTCACAACAATTAATTATAACGTCGTTCATTGCTCCTGCTCAAGCGGCAAAGAAAAAGCATTTCCGTTTCTGAAATTCATTTGATTGTGCAGATAAAATATAACTGATAGAATTCGACAGCACATGGTATTACGGTGTGTAAACAGTTGAGAGCCAAGGATTCCCAGGCATGCACCTCTAGATGGTGGAGATGTCAGGAGCCATTCTGACGCCCAGGCATCTTCACATGGTCACTCACAAGTGGCCGATAGCCAGGTGCAAAATGTGCCTGTCACCTGGCTCATTTTGAACACTGCTCCCAAAGCTACAATTCTATAATCTCAACTGCATTGCATGACTGTAGCTAATAACAATTCGCTTGTCTGAGTATGCAAGAAGGAGAAACACACACAGGAAAAATGGGAATGGTATTAACTATGGACTGAGGTGGAGGTTTTTAAACTGTGGTCTGCAAGTTCCATTTGGGTGGCCTTTGGAAAGGCCGCAGGGCAGTCAAATATATCTGTACTCAGCCCTGCACTTCCCTTGATGTGATGATGGAGGACTAAGATGCCCAGCAAGGGGCCCACGATGCGCATGGCAGCGCAGAAGCAGAAGATGTACGTCTTTTGCTGCGCACAAGTCAGCTGGCTCGATGGAGATGTCAGTTGCCAACATGGCAGCCATAAATCTCCCCGTGGTCGCAATTGGACCCATGCCAGTAGCAAATCATGCCCGGCACCTGGGGAATTTCCAACACTGGCCTCAAGTTTCCTCAACACAGGGTACTCCTTCATGATGTTTTGCTTGGGGGTTACAGGTAATCCCCTGAAGCAGATTCCTCCATTGGGGGAATGACATGGGACCTAAGATGTGGGACCAGCTCGACTGATTTTAGGGAGCCCATGGGTACTGAATGGCTGAACAGGGCTTTACTTAGAAGGAATCCCTATGGAAATTAATGGTGTAAAGATGTGAGAAAACAGGTAAGCTTAGATTCAAAATAATTTCAACAGAAGTAGTTTCGTGCTTGAATCTCTCCAACTTAAATCTGTAGAACTTATCACTCAGAAAATAATCAAACCGAGATCAGTGGGACTTACTCCCAAGTAAGTCTGAACAGGACTGAAGCCTAAATAGTGCTCTGCTTTGTTGGGATCATGTCCAGCATTCCCAAATTAGATGACGTTGGCTAAAACGTATTTTCTCTAGAACTGCCCAGCTGACTTTGTTTTGACTATTTCAAAGGAATCATTTGGCATGGTTGATCTCAGCTCAGCTTTGGTATTATTGTTGTTGATTGTTTTGCCCAGTGAACAAGTAGCAGGTTGACGGCAATTTACCTCAGGAAACTGGTGCAGAGGAAAAGGTTTAACTCATCCTCTATTATGACTCCAAACCAATTTTGCAGACCTATGGCTGTTTTCACCCATCCAGTGAGTTGGTGTTTTCTGAGGAGGGGAAGAAAAAAATAGAAATGTTGGCAGATCCAATCAGAGGTCTTCCCTATCTCATCTAATCTGCTAGGTATTCCGAATCCTGACCAAAGAGAATGGAGCCCCTATTGATCAGACTGCTTGTAGTGATCCCTCTGGAAGATTGTCCCCTCCATTCATGGAGTAAAGAGTGTGGGCAACAATGGGAGTGGTCTTTGGCCTTCAAGACTTCTCCACCTTGTGGTCCTGGCTTTAGTTTGGAAATTACATAAACTATGAGAGAGTTTCTCTAAAAACCTTTTCAGGTTGTCCCAGTGTCTGGAGACTGCAATAGCTGGGGCACTGGGAGTAGATTGTGATAACTGACACATTAATTGGGTTGTTGAAATAAAATTCTAATGTGCTACTATTTCCCCCGATGAACTTGGCTTGCTTTTCTTTTTCTCATAGTGCAAATTTCAACATTTCTTGAATGTGTTACAACACGTAATTGCATTGGCCTATATTCAGTAACCCGGCTGCCTGTAATCCCAGCCACAGTAAGAATGCTGACTGATTCATGGGGTAAAAATAGCCTTTTACTCAGACCTGGTATATGTTATCACTTGCTCTGTGTTTCAGCTAATTGTTGATCATTTTTGCTTTAATAGACGCTGACAAGTACATGGTTGTATTGATTCACATTGAAAATAAGTAATGTGAAATATTTCCCTTAAACTTGGTACCTCCCAGTGTTAGAAACTGGGACAGAAAAGCTAGGAGCCAAATGGCTTCTGGGACCTGGGTTGTGGGCGCCAAAACAGAATATCTAGTCGCCATTTGGAGGAGGGGGGTCAGCCACACTTTTTATTTATTATTTTGATAAGCATGAACTAATACACATAAGCGATACATTGTTAATATCACATTTTTAACTGAGGGTCTGTGCTTGTGTGGTAACCCATGTTAAAACTGTTAAACTGTAGAGCATCCTTTGGTCAAGATGGGCATCTAAGCATTTCTTATCAGTTAAGCCAAAACAGCTGCTCTCCCAGCGCCTATCCTCCAATATATGGCTTTTAAGCCCACATAAAGGTAAAACAGATAAAATGGATATGCTCCTTGCAATTAACATTAGCTACTGAGCCCAACTGACTTTAAAACTATTCAGAATAGAAAGAAATTAAAACTAGCACAGAGCATGCTCCAGGACAAGCAGCCTTAGTCGTCACCAACTTCACATGCAAAAACGAAAGCATGATACAACAAAAGCGACTATGGATGGTTTGCATTACTCACTGCTCACTTGAAGTATCAAATGCAAGGCTGGTGTTTCCTCAGATCCTTGACTCCCAGCAAAAATTTTAAAAACGCATGCCAAACCCTGAAGATCAAGGAACAAGCTTCAACATACTTGTCTGTGATGATGTCACCGCAAGACAATATTGGCTATTTGCCCACAATACATGCTCCTGCAGCTGAAATGTCGACTGTATATGAGGTCCTAAACCAGTCTATCAACATGATGCAGTCTCTGCAGTTGTCCAAGATTGTGTGTGTTTTTGATCAGGCACTTCATTCCCAGAGCTGTAGAAATCACCTTGACTCAACCAGAGAAATTCAGATATACCATCATAATTAGAATGGGTAACATTTCACACCATATGCCCCTTTTGGCCACAGTTGGTAAGCGGTTTCAGGATACATGATTTATACATTGCCAGGCACAATCGCAGAAGGTTCAGTAGCAGAGGAGTTCAGAAGTTTAACCATGCAGTCAAACTTCACAAGCTGTTTTATGAAGCACTCATGGGATAGCATGGCATGGTTTTTTGGTCATTGTTGAAAAACATGCATGCATGCAGAAGGTATCTGGATGAAATGCTGTACAGCTTAAGGAACTTTTGGCATGATGTATGCATAGTTTCACTGAAGGAAAGTCCTTGGTAAGCAATCCCGTCCAGGGATTATGGAGTTCCTTGAGGACTACCTGGGATGTAAATTTTGGGCAGGCATAGGCAGACTCTGGTCTTCCAGATGTTTAGGACTACAATTCCCATCATCCCTAGCTAACAGGACCAGTGGTCAGGGATGATGGGAATTGTAGTCCCAAACATCTGAAGGGCCAGAGTTTGCCTATGCCTGATTTTGGGTATCGTATCTGGACACAGTAGAAATTCTGCTGGAGTTAATTTACAAGAAGGTAAATAGGTGCTTCACTTGACATGCAACCCTGCAGTGGTCCCATAGTGTTTTGCCCATGGCAGACTGAATTATGCATGCTGCCTTCCATACTGTTAAGCCCACAGGGTTCTGTAGTTGAGCATCCTGTTAGCCCACAGTGACCAACTGGATGCCTGTAAGGTGCCCATAAACAGCACATACACACCATAGGACTCTCCTACTATTGCTCCCCAGCAGCTGGTATTATTATTTATTAAATCTGTATACCGCCCTTCATCCGCAGATCTCAGGGCAGTTCACAACATAAAACACAATATAAAAGCACAAAATACATGATAAAAACAAACCAATAACCCCCTCCCCCTCCCCTAAATATATTTAAAGGGGATATAAGATGTTAATCAGCCCAAGGCCTGGTTGAAAAGGAATGCATTCAGAGATACACTGCTCTTTATCCTGGAGTTTGTAGAATCATCACAACTAATAGCTTTTGGTAGCCTTGCCCCCTCTCCTTTCACTGCTTCCTAAATGGGCATTGCAGCAGTGAATCACCGTCTTGCTCCAATTAATAACGCTGGTGCAACCTGGTTGGCATGACGACAGAACAAGCCTGAGCTTCTTGCTTCTCAGTCTAAGTGCACGGACTTCGTGTTCTCACCTTAGGCCAGCAAGGAAGCATCAAAAGCGCCCGGCTGAGTTGCATCTCTCAATTAGGAAAGTTGTTGCATTTCCTGTAGGGTTGTGTTGGATCTGTTCCAACAAACAGCAGCAGATCGCGTGGAAATTAAGCAGCTGAAGGTTATCTCACCACTTTACTCTCCATGCCAGGAAAAGCTTCACCTGGGGCTAGGAGCAGGAGCAGTAAACAAAATGGCAAGCCTAATTTCATGAGATGGTGTTAAATAAAAATAATTTATTATTATTATTATTATTATTATTATTATTATTAGGCCATCCGTCTGACTGGATTGCCCCAGCTATTCTGGGAGGCTCCCAACAAAATATTAAAAACACAATGAAACACACACACACACACACTGGTCACAGTGAAAAGAGATCTGTACATTTGTATGAGCCTGGAGAAAAGGAAGGGCTTGGGGATGTATTCTTAACCATGTTCTGTGGCAGAGAAGCTAGTTTATTTTCCTGCCTTTTCTCTAGAAAGTTCAAAGAGCTGAGAGGAAAATGCAAAGTTGGATATTGTTGAAATCAAAGAATATGCCTATAAAAATAGACAGGACATGGTGTGTATCAGTCCTGCACAACTTGTGATTCAACAAAATGAAATCAGGCCAGAAGTAACATATGGCTGCTCACTGGACCTACTGATGGGCAAAACTCCCTATTTTACTTCTGTTTTCCTGCCTCGTAGCCTCATGTATCCGTGGAAACTTCACCGAGTCAGTTTGACACCCTTGGTTTTAGGAACTGAAATTTACATGTGCTTTAGAATAGGTGTAAATCTGATGTTCTTTGGAATGTGCATGCAGCTGCAGATGCTGTTCTTTGCTTTCAGTGGCTTGTGTGTGTTTTGGATTTGTATTCTCATTCCTCAACCCCTGCCGCTAGCTTATGCAGGGGTTTGGGCACCCAACAGCTGTTGCACATTTCCCCTCTTCAACAGGAAGCAAATCAGAGACAATGGAAGGTGGCTTTGTGCTAGCTGTCCATACCCACAGAACTTTACCATGTGCATGGAAAACCTTTTGGATTAGCTTTGAAGGACCCCGTAAAACTTCTGTGGTGCCCAGGACTTCAAAAACAGGGCTTGTCGGGCATTTGACAGGCCACAATCCACATCGGATGGGCTGTGTTTAGTTTGGTGAGTCATAAGTAGTGCTGGCCTAGCGCACATGGAACCTTCAAGGCTTTGCTGTGGAGTCAGAACATTTCTTCAAAGATGTGACCTTTGACTGGTTTTGCTGGGACAGTCCTTGGTAGTCTGTGAGCACTAAAGGAAGTGGGCTCCAAGTTTCTTTGAAGTGGTTTAAGTAAATGTGCATATGGTTCTCCCCCACCCCCACTCCTCCCCAAACACCACTGAAACTAATTGCTTAGTTCTCCTTGTGTTGTTTTTGTTTTCTGTTCTTTTTGGAGAAGCACTGGGGATGTTGAAATCCCCAGACACAGAATGCTTATTAACCCAACAAAGAAGTCTAGCAAAAGTCTATAGAGTCTGATTCTCATAAACACCAGATGAGTTGGTAAGCCTGGGCTTGGGCTGCGTCGTTTCAGACTGCAGGTGGAGACTTCTGTGACGGAATGTCCCTCTCTACACATAGAAAATGTGCATGTCCGGAAGGAGAGTTCTAGGCTCGTGTTCTAGACTGGCTCCTTCCTTGTTATCCTTCCAGTGGCAGTTGAAGACTTTCTTATCCCAACAGACTTTTGGAAACTGCCTGTTTTTAAGGAACGGGCTGGTACTGTGATGTTTCTATTGCAATTACCTGTATATTTTTAAAAGACATTTTATATGAACATATGTATATAGTTCTATCAATGTTTAATTGCTCTTTAAGTTGTTATTTTTCCTATGTTTTTAGCTGTTCTTATCTGTGAGCTGCCTTGAGTCCCTGACAGGGGGAAAGGCGGGGCATAAATAAATATATAATAATGGTAATAATCTGAGTTTCCAAGCCATTGCTCTGTTTCCGTATGGGGATTCTCAGGGAGGATGGTGTATAAAAATTTGCTTTGCCAATATATATATATATATGGAGCAGAAATCATGATTTGGAGTTTATACCATAGTTAAAGCTATGGTTTTCCCAGTAGTGATGTATGGAAGTGAGAGCTGGACCATAAAGAAGGCTCATCACCAAAGAATTGATGCTTTTGAATTATGGTGCTGGAGGAGACTCTTGAGAGTCCCATGGGCTGCAAGAAGATCAAACCGATCCATTCTGAAGGAAATCAGCCCTGAGTGCTCACCGGAAGGACAGATCGTGAAGCTGAGGCTCCAATACCTCATGAGAAGAGAAGACTCCCTGGAAAAGACCCTGATGTTGGGAAAGATTGAGGGCACAAGGAGAAGGGGACGACAGAGGACGAGATGGTTGGACAGTGTTCTTGAAGCTACCAGCATGAGTTCGACCAAACTGCGAGAGGCAGTGGAAGACAGGAGTGCCTGGCGTGCTCTGGTCCATGGGGTCACGAAGAGTCAGACACAACTAAACGACTAAACAACAACAGCCATAGTCAACAGATAGTATGCTTTAGCATTGCATCTGAACTATTCCAACATATATAAACTGTTTCAATTTGCATAGTCCATTTACCAGCGCACCGTGCTATAAAAACCGGACCAGGGTAGATCTAGCAGGCAACAAAGAATAATTAGCAGTGTTAAATACCCCAACTATTTATATTTACTAGGGACAGTCCTGATTTTCTTATTCGTGCTTCTTTTGTTCCATGGGAAGTCTGTGGGATTTTCAAAAGGCAGCACACTGCAGGCTATTTCAGAATAAACGAATACCACATATTCTGGTGGCATCTATAGCATTCAGAGAACAACCTTCATTCATGGGTAATGGGGTGGTAGGGGGTGGACTGATCTTAGAATAGAGGTGCAAATACATGGATGTATCTATCCCTCTTTTCATCTGGGATAATGTGGAAGGTGTTTTAGTGTTTAATGGGTGGGTGTGGGTGTGTTGAAGTTTAGGTGGAAGGAGGGTCAGGCAGTGGCCCTTGGTGTAAGAATATAGGTGTGTTTGTGCACGTTCTCACCTGTGAAATGTTAGTGCATATGTAACTAGAGTTCCTGGATCCTTCTTAGTTGGCAACTACAAACAGTCCGCAAAGTTTGTTTGCTTAAAGCAGGCCAAATTTTGTTAACGTTAATTAAATAAAAAGAGCAAAAAGGAGCGTTGACTTGGTCCTATGCAGCTTCCTGTACGTTTGTTTCCATGGTCACTCGTTAAAAGCATTTCTTGATGCACACAGTCACCATAGCTGTAAATCCTCCTGGTAAAACAGGAAGAAAGCTGAGTAGAATTTCAATCTGTTTCTTTTCTTTTCT